CAGGTCAAGACCGATCGCGGGGAGGCGTTCCACCTCCGCATCAAGAAGCCCGCGGGGCCTGTCGCGCCCGCGCCCCATCTGGCAGCGCTCGCGCCAGCGCCACGGTGGGCAGTGCTGCTTCTCCTCGCGACGCCGTCTCTCCTCTGGCGTCGGCTCGCGGACGTCGGGGAACGTGGTCGGCCCCGGCACCTGCCCCGTCTCCGCCTGACGCCTCATCTCCTCGCGCCTTAGCTCGCGGCAGTCATCCGTCGCCGCCCCTACCTTGCGTCTGCCCTCGTACTCGACGAGCCGTGCCCAGCACTGAGCCTTGGTCCCGTAGTACGGGGCGTAGATCCCCTTGAAGCGCTTCTGCGCGGCGTCGATCCTCGAGCTTGGCCCCGGACCCTCGAGGTATGACCGCCCCAGCGGCTGTGCCGCCACAGGTGCCCCCTGGCCCTGCGCAGGCGCCGCCGCCCCCTGCGCCCACGGCGGCGCCGCCGCCTCCTGCGCCCGAGGCGGCGCATCTCATGCATCCGGTGGTGCTGGGCCACGTGGCCCTCGAGCTTCTGGGCGCGACGGGGGGCCCTCTCCTCGCGCCGCCCCCCACGGAGCTTCCGCGGCACCTGCTGCGGCGACCCAGGCGGGGCAGTCTGCGAGCTTGGCTTCGCCCATCGCGTCGTGGATCTGCGCGGCGAGGTAGAACGCGCTGCCAACTAGCTTCGCGCCCGCCCGCTCGCCCGCCTCGAGGTCCACGGCGTGCGGGTCGCCCTCCTCGAGGACAAACATGAACTGATTGCGCGCTGGCTTCCCGAGGCTGAGCACCGCGCCCTGAGGGCGAGGTCGTTGCTCACTCTGAGTTTCCCCGAGCATGGCTGGCGACCCCTCGCCACCGACGACCATCGGGGTCCTGCGGGGCCCCTCGGCACCAAGCCTCTGGCCGCTCACCGCGGTGAACGTGCGCAAAGGGGCCCCCCTGAACTGTCGGATGCTGTGCTCCGAACGCCCAGCGGCGGAAGTGCTCGTCGCTGCCGCTGTCTGCGAGGATGAGCCCTCTGCGCCCCGCCCCGCGGCAGCCTCCGACCGAGCTCCTGACACCAAAGACCCAGCCGACCTCGTCGCCGCCCTTCTGGCCCTCAGCGCCTGCAGGGACCTGCTGGACTGCGGCCGCTCTCGGGGGCGCTGCTGGCGGCACCCGTGGCTTGCCAGCCGCCTTGTGCCGGCAGCCCCTCTCCGTGCGCCCCTGCTTCTGGCGCCAGTTGCAGGCCCCCTCGAACTTGGCGGGGCAGCTGCCCTTGAGCTCGTCATCCATGACTCCCTTATTCCTGCCCTTGCCGCCCTTGTCGCCCTCGCCGCCCATCTCGCCACCCTTGCCGCCCCCCGACTTGTCGCCCTTGCGTTTGGGCCAAGGCTGTTGCGGCAGGGCAGGGCCCGAGATCGCGCCGATCTCCATCGGCGCCACGCCTTGGCCCACCGCGCCGCTAGCTGCGAAGCCCTGTCCAGACGCCCTCCACTCTCTCAGGTGGGTTCTCAGCGCCACGCGCGAGACCTTGGCGGCCGTCGGAGCATTGCGTAGCACGGTCGTGCACGGCTCGGGGCTATGGACGAGCAGCGCAGCGATGCGAAATTCATCGCCGAAGTCCTCCCCCGCCTGCATGACGTACCTCGCCACGTCGTTGTCCCAGTCAACGAGCTGGTCGGCGAACGGCTTCTGGTCGTCCCACCTGGGGTTGAGCACGCCGCTGAGCATGGCTGCGAGCCTGTTGCCCACCCCAGGCTCGCACTCGTTCTTGATCGCCCGCCAGGCGACGAAACCCTCGTGCCTGCCTGCGAGCGTAACCATCGCCAGCGCCTTGCGCTGGGTCTTGGTGATCAGCATGGCATTTTGCAGCTTGCTCGTCGCTGCCGCGCGCTCACCCATGCTGACGCTGTCCACCGCGAGCGCTGGCTGGGCCTCAACATTTTCGATGAGGTCATCCCAGCCCATCCGCGCGAAAAACGCGCGAGCTTTGATGGACCAGCTGGGCCAGTCCTCATCTTTGCCACTGAACTCTGGCAGTTTGATGTCGCCTCTGCCATCCACCAGCTGCTCTCTGGGCGCCGCTGCCATGGGCAGCGCACGTCCTCCGTCTTCCCGTGGATCTGATCTGCGTAGTTCACCACACAACCACGTTCTCCGCTACCATGGCGGAGATTACGCGGATGCGTTGGGAAAGCGTATATTGGGGCTCTTTTTCCTCCAGCGCAGCTCGAACAAAAAAGCCTGCGGGCATGTTATGAATTGATGGCGTCCGGATCACACATGATCCCGAGCAGGTTGGGGGGTTCCGTCCCACTGCGATCTCACCCCCCAACCTCCGATGGCTGTCTTCTTCGACGTACCCAGGGAACGCCTGCGGGGCCCGTGCTTGCGAGAGCCCCCGATGCAGCGGCGACGTCGACGTGAAGCAAATCGGGCTCCACATCGAGCCGCATCGGCGATGCATCGGCGATGCGGCGCGATCCTTCGACCACATCTACTCCGACCCCATCTAGGAGGCCATTACATGATTACCCGAAAACGCGTCCATTGAGGGGCACCCGCCACGAGCACGCCTGCGGGGCCCGTGCCGGCAAGTGTTCCTGGGGGGCTGGTCTCCGACACCCCCAGGAGGAGACCGGGCAAAACAGGCGGAAGCCGAGCACCCCTGCGCGTAGAGGAGTCCGTCGGCCAGAGCCCTGGGCACCACAGCTGCGTGCAGAACCTCGGCTGCACCTTGCCTGGGTCCAGTGCCAGTTCCGCCCTGCACTACGCCTTCAGCATCTTTGGGGAGTATTCGGAGCCCATGACGTGATGGACTCGTCCGGGAGGACCCTCGGCTACGACATCGTTCACTTCGCCTCCGATAGGGCTGTTAAACCGGCCACTGAGTACTTGCGCGCAAGAGGCGGCGTCCCGCGGGGTGACGGTAAGATAACAGTCATCTCATTGGCTCGAGCGTGTGCATCGTCATCTATCTCGACAATGAATGGGTCGCCTCCCTTGACAAGGGAGGAGATCGCCCTCGCCCTGCCGTCCCTTTGCGAAGAAGGCGAGAGTCAGGCGCAATAGCTCCACACGTCCTTCGTGCCAGGGATGCCCGTAGCCATCCAGGATGTGTCGCTCGAGCCAAGTGTCGTGCACGAGGTGCTACGCAAATGGCAAATCCAAAGCCGACTATGACCCTCAACGCGATCTCAATGCCACAAATTCAATGGCTTCTCGGGACAGCTTCTCGGGTACCACTGGCCACCATGTTTCTTCTCACGCCAGCTGTGAGCCACCACTGATTGAAAGAACGGATGGAGGCTGCACAACCTCTCTACCAGCATTCCCATCGCTCCATCTCGCTAATCGCCTCTTATGCATCTCGTGCGGGACGGGTGCGGGCCAAGATGAGAAAAACGTGGGGACTTTGGGATTGGGCTCGGCTTCGCGGCTCGGGCCTTTTGAAAGATCATTCGGTACTCCAACATATGGTGTCCATGTGTTGGAGTCCGCATGTTGGAGGAAGGGCAGCTCGATTTGTTGGTCCATATTACACCAGCAGATCGAGCTGCACTTACTTCCCTCGCCAGGCACGGACGACCGAGGCCACAGCAGCCTGGGCCGGCATTTTCCGTTGACTTCGCTCAGGGTGTCCATACATGTTCCCAGAATGTTTGCCACTACCCTCCCTGTATCTCCACCATTACCGTTTCCAGCTCCCTACCTCAACGTAGCCGACCTGCTGCTTGTCATCCAGCCCCGAGAGTCCAGGAATTTCAAGGAGAAATGCTGGGCTTACAAGCTGGCGTGCTGGTACCAGCCCGCGCCGCCGCCCAGCCATCCAACCAGCCATCTCACGCCCGCGTCACCGCTCGATTTTGCTTGTGGGATGGGTATGGACTGGGAAGTGAGAACGACACTGGGGTGGAGGAGGCACGCCTCTGGCTGCAACTTGTTCAACTCCGAGGACGAGCTCGCCTAGCACGCTCGATGCTGCGACCACGCAGCATCCCAACGCCAACGAGAACACAGACGTTGGCAGACGAAGATATAGACAGCGCCCTTGCACCGACGAGAACACCACCGTCGGCAGGGGAGGCTCTGGAGGCTTGGGGTGCGGACGCGAGGCGGTGGAGGTGAAGCAGGAGGGTAAGCTTGTGGCGCGGCCCTGCCTCGCTTGACGAACACAGACAGAGCACAGGGGGCGGGACAGCAGCTCTTGTTAGGACCACGGGACGGGCCGACAACGAGAAGCGGACCAGGCAGAGGACAGAAGCGGGCAGGCAAGCGAGGAGCCGAGGAGCGAGAAAGGAGGGGGGGAGAGGGAGGGAGGACAACAAGCAAGCACAGACTGGGCCGACGGACGGAGGGACGGAGTGACAGGGGGGGGGAGCCGAGCGGGGAGAAAGAGGCGGAGCACACAAGGCGTAAGGGTAAGGAATCACAAGGGCTCATCTTCTCTCTACTCTTAATTGCTTGTTCAACCCACCCATCGGCGATGTCCGCTTGGGGGGGGGAGCACCGCGTCACCTGATCTAATGCCATCAGCCCGAGCCCGACGTGGAGGTGGACGAGGACCAGAGGGAGGAGGGAGGACGAGGGAGGAGGAGGCGGAGGCGGATGGGGAGTTCAGGAGCAGGGGAAGAGGAGCGCCATGAGGCGAAAGACGTCGACGCCGCCGCTGGCGACAGCCGCCGGCCGTTGCCCAAGCGGCGTCGCCTGGCCACCGCACGGCACGACAAGGATAGAGGAACAACAAAACTCCGTAAACATCAACTTTTGCAGGTCCGCGCGGACCTCTTCGACCCGCGCGGAGCGCGGAACTCGCTGGCGCGCGGAGCGCGTCGGGGGCGGCGCCGGAGGCGCCGCCGGGGGGTCCCAGCGCGGAGCCAAGGAATTCGCGCGGAGCGCCAAAAGTTTATGTTCATACCTTTTTTCATCTTCGAAAGGAGACCGACGCACGGGCGACAACCCACGGCGCGCGCCGCCCCTCCTGGCGGGCGGGGCGCGGCGGCGCCCCGGCCACGCACTCCTGGTAGTCCTGCACGTGCTGGCTCTGCTGCCAACTGCGCCCGCCGGCGGGCCGGGACCGTCAGAAGCCTCCCAGATTTAAGTCGGGCCTGTCCCTCTACAGGGGGAATATTCAAAGATAGTAAAGAAAAGAGTATGGGGGCGATGGTTTGCCCATTTTTAACTATTGTTGGTGCATTTGGGGGGTACTGTTGTCCAAAATCCGTCTGTAGGGCCCGACCCAATCCTAGATGGGGTCCGAGCAGATGGGGTCGGAGGATCGCGCCGCATCGCCGACGTCGGTGGTGTATCGGCGACGCCGGCGTGGAGACAATCGGGCTCCGCATCGAGCCGCATCGCGCATCGCCAATGCATCCGCGAGGCGGCGCGATCCTCCTGCTCCGACCCCACCTGGGAGGCCTAGAACCGTACCCCACACTGCGGGGGGGGGGGGGGGGCAAAGACCCCACCGCGCCCCGGAGAGACCGCGGCGCCCTGGTTCTTGGCCACCCTCGGCCCCTGGGGACCTGCTCCCAAGGCCCCGGGACTGTCCACAACACCGCTCGGGATGAGAAACTGATCCCCTCTGGACTTCTGGGGCCCCCACGATGCAAAAATCATTGATTTGAGTGTTTGACTTTCTCGCCTTTTCGGTATTTCCGACGTTCCAAGACGGCCCAAGAGGCCCCCAAGACCACCCCAAAACGGCCGAAGATGCCTCCAAGAGGGCCCCAAAACAGCCTAAGATGCACCCAAGACGGACCAAGAGGCGCCCAAGACACCGAAAATCCGAGCCTTCCGCCCCAAGAGGCCCCCAGGAGCCAGGAGGCCCAACGACGCGCCCAAGAGGCCCCAAGAGGCTTCCAAGAGCGCCCCAAGACAGCCTGACAGCGCCCCAAGACGGCCCAAGAGGCGCTCAAGACGGCCCAAGAGGACCCCAGGGTAGACCCAAAAGAGGCCTCCAGGAGAAGGAGCACGAGACGAAAATCTGAGCCTTCCGCCCCAAGAGGCCCCCAGGCAGCCTAACGAGGCGCCCAAGAGGACCCAAGACCCCCCCTCCAGAGGACCCCAATAGGCCCCAAGAGGCCCGAAAGAGGCCCCTACAGGCTCCAAAATGGCACCCAAGAGGCTTCAAAACTGCATCCAAGAGGCCCCCGACAAGCCTCCCACGAGATCCCAACGAACATCCGATAGGCTTCATAACCACCAATCTAGCACAGTGGCGGGACCTGTCGTGGGCACCTCGGTAACTCCCCCGTGTCGCACCTCCAGACGCGTCGGTAGGGCGGGCCGGGCGTTTCGCCTGAGACTTCGCCACCTCTCAGGATCGCGCAGCTTGAATTATGCAGCAGTTTGAAAAATGGAGGGCGTGTGGTTTTCAACATGTAACTATCCTTTTCGCGCCGCGAACATTCGCTAGAAAAGTTTGGAGCCGTTGTGCAGATGGAGGATAGTTAGATTGTTCAATGTGGTTGTCGTCGTGGCGGCCCGCACAGTCGTTCAACATGTTTCGAAATTGTTCAAAGATGCAGGGCTTTTTAAAAACTATGTCTCTTGTCTTAGCATCACGCACACTCGTCAAGGATGGAGAGCGAGTCCGTTTTCAACATGTGGCATATGCATTATCAGAAGTCGCAACTATTGCAATGTTCGTGTAACTGAAATGACCACGGGACGGTTGATGGTTGACAGGACGCAACACTCATGCTGGCTCGCGGAGTTGAAGTCCCAATAACGGCGTGCCAGCAAAATGTCGGATTATCTGGGTGCAACACTCAGGTTGACTCGGGGCGTTGAGGTCCCAGGAATGACCTGGTGGCACGATTGAAGATTCTCAGAAGGTTGTCTTCCAATGGGGCACTTCCAACAATGAAGATAACTGATTGCAAGGGCCTGTGAAGAAGGAGCTTGGAAGGAAGGTTAACTGCAACATCGTTGATGAGCTGTGGCTTTGGTCCTCCTCCTCCTCCTCCTCCTCCAGTTGCTCCTCTTTTTCCTCCTCCTCCTCCTCTTCCTCCTCATCCTCCTCCTCCCCCTACTTACCCTCCTACTCCTCCTCTTCCCTGCCTCCCTCTCTCCCTCCCTCTCTCCCTCCCCCCTCCTCCTCCTCCTCCTCCTCCTCCTCCTCCTCCACCTCCACCTCCTCCTCCTCCTCCTGCGAACTGATGGCGTGTGGGTCGTATCCGACGCCGCTTCCCCTCCCCCAGGGGCGTTTGCCCCTGAGGAGGCTGGTCAAACTAAGGTCTCCACCGCCTGCCAGCAGTGGCGTTCGCGCTGTAGCAGGGCGGACGACCACAGGTCGCGTTTTTCATCCATCTCTACCTCCAACTCCGACCAACCCCCCTCCGTCGACCTGGCCCCCCCACACGGGCGGTTCGCCGGGGAGGAAGGCGAGGAGGAAATAAAATGAAGAACGAGGGATGGGGGAGGCTGGGTGCGGCTGCCAACGGCGGTGTTCTCGCTGGTGAACCGTTGGCTGATGGGCCGTCAACGATGGCGTGTTCGCTGTGCTTGCCCCGGGTTCAACATGTACCGTCAGCAATGGCGTTCTCGCTCAGCGTGGCTCTGGCTCGCGTTGCTAGAATTATGTGGCAACTTGGGTTACTGAGATGGGCGGGCGAGGCCGGCAGCACAGCGGACAAGCCGCTAGGCAGGTGCGGTGGAACATTGCCACCGTCGTCGGAACAGCCTAGTGATACGATGGCTATGGCAGGGCTGGCGATGGCCCTGCAGGTTGCGAGCCTGTAGCACTCAAAGTGAGAACGCCGAGTGAGTCGGACATGTTAAGTGTTAAGTCATTCGCTGGCTCGGTCGCGCCCACACGGTTGCGGCAGACCCGTCTGGTTCGGGGCTCATCGCGAGTCCTCCAAACCCCCTCCCTAAGTCATGCTCCATATTTGTCGGCGGCGCGGGTGATCGAGGGAGGCGACGGGGGCCCCCAGGGGACGGCCGCGGAGACGGCGGAGCCCAGGGGGAGAGAGACAAAGAACATGGAATCGGAGCAAGAGGGAAGAGACTGGAGGAACGCCACCGTCGCCGGAGTAGTCTAGTGACAGGACGGCTCTGCTAGGGCTGGCACGGCTCTGAGAATCCCACCAGCCCTCTGAGCGTAGGTGGTCTAGAGCGCTTCCTCTTCTAACCCCCTTTTTCCCCTTCGCGGAGGGGTTTACCCCTTCCCCTACCCCCTTCCCTTGGCCTGGACGGGGGGTTCGCGAGGGGTTGGAGCGTCCAAGATGGACCAAGATGGCTCCAAAAGCGCATCAGAAGAGCCCAAGATGAGCTCCAAAATGGCTCGAGATAGCCTAAGATGCCTCAAGATGGCTCCGAAGATGTTCCAAGAGGCCTCAAGAACGCCCCAAGACGGCTCCAATTGGCCAAAGAGCTTCCCAAGGAGGCCTCCAAGAGACCAACATCCTTCAAATACCTTAGGAAAACCCATGAGTTGTGCCTTCTCGCTTTTTCGCTTCCGATGGCCATTCGAGGCCTCAAGATGGCTCCAAGATGGCTAAAGAGAGCCCTAATAGGGCCCCAAGAGAGTCCCCAGACGGCCCCAAGAGCGCTCCCAGAGCGACTCAAGAAGGGTCCAGGAGGCTACTTGTGGGGCTCCCGAAGGGGGAAGGGGGGGCGTAATTGAAGCTCCCCTCATGTTTGATCGATCTCCTCCAAGATGGCCCCAAGAGGCGGCCAGGAGGCCCCAAGAGGCCCCAAGATGGCCCCATGTGGCCCCAAGAGGGTCCCCAAGAGGACCCCAAGAGGACCCCAAGCGGCCTCAAGAGGCCCCGCCGAGGCACCCAAGACGCCCAAGCCCCTCAGGACCGCAAAGAGACCCCCAAGACGTCCCAAGGGGCCTCCAAAAAGCGCCCAAGAGATATCCCAAGAGGTTCCGAGAGGCATTCAAAAGACCTCTGGCCCTTTTGCTCGCCCTCCTCCTCCTCCTTCCTTCTCCCTCCTCCCCCTCCTCCTCATATTCCTCCTCTTCCTCTTCTTCTTCCTCCTCCTCCTCCTCAGCTATCTTCTCGCCGCTCCCTCATCCATCCATCCAGCACCAGCAGCAGCATCGGCAGCACCGACAGCATCAGCGGCAGCAGCAACACCAGCAGCACCAGCACCAGCAATTCCAGCACCACCAGCAGCACTAGCACCATCGGTACCAGCAGCAGCACCAGCAGCACCAGCACCAGCACCAGCACCAGCACCAGCACCAGCACCCACCAGCAGCAATAGCACCAGCAGCAGCACCACAGCACCAGCAGCAACAGCCCAGCAGCAGCACTAGCAACAGCACCAGCAGCACGAGAACCAGCAACACCAGCAGCAGGATCATCACCAGCAGCACCACCACCAGCAGCAGCGACAACGCCAGCAGCAGCCACCGCACCTTTCGATGCCAGAGATCTCCCAACTCACCGTTGTTGCCCGCGCTGTTTCACTATGTGCATCGTTACCTCTCGTCTCCCGTCAGCTCTCCTGGGCATCGTTTCTGGATGGGCCGATGGGGCTCGCAATGGGAATGCACAATAAACACTATTAAAGCATTTGCTAGACGAGTCGCGCCATCACGGCTGCGGCCGACCACTCTGGTTCAAATCTCGTCGCCAAGCCTTCTCCGTCACCCACCCCATACTCAACCCCCGCCCAAGTCGGGATCCCAATCGGTCAGCCGCGCGGGTGAGCGAGGAGACGTTGTGGATCAAGCGCAACCACTTCTGAGTGTTGACGCAATCTGGCTACACGGTGGCTCCGCTTGGCTTGGCAATGGCATCGGATGCTCTCTCGACGGGAGCCGATCGTCGTCACGACGCAAATGCGGTGTAAGTCATGTCGGGAAGGGTCTCGTCGGCCTGGAAATGGTTGGAAAAATGGAAACTAAAGAAAACAAACACAGAAACAACAACATTAAAACAAACAACAAAAACGATTCCACGCTGCCCCTCGCTCGCCGCCGTGGCATACATCCGATTGACCACATGTTCACCCTGCATGATGTCAAGCCACCCAAACTCTGTCTGATCCGACAGAGGCACGCGTTCCAGGGTCTCTAGATGATTTGGCGAATATATCCACGAACTCGGCCTTGACTCGGATGAGGGCGGGGCCATCGCGGAACACCCATCGCCTTGAGGTCTCCTCGACATGGGCCCAGTAGCCCTTCTCTACAGCTCATGCTGGACTTCGCACGGAGCCCAACCAGCCTCTCTCGTCTCCCCTCCTGGAGGTGCCCACCCTGGCCCTGCACCAGGGAATTGGGAAATACTGCGTCTCCAAGGCCCTGTTCAGGGGCGTTGGAAGAATCTGCGCCACAACTGCCAGCCAGTAGTGCAACTGACGGCTGATCTCCACGTCGTCTTCCTCCGGGGTCGCGTTGAACATGGGGGCCGCCGACCTCGACGCTCGCTGGAACGCCTCCGCCATGCGCGGGTTGGTCGCCCCCGCGTACGCCCCGAAGACCACCGACCAGTCCCGCCACTTCGTGCCATCGCAGTGCTCGGGTTTCCCTATCGTCGAAACCTCCGCGGCCCAGCGCTCTGCTGCTGGTGCCGCGCCCTCTCGCTGTGCTGGAACGGCCGCCCGCGCCTCAACTGCCGCCTGCCGTGTCTGCGCGGCCTCGCCGCGCGCTGCGATGAGCTCCTGCTGCATCGCGTGCATCTGCGCTTGCAGATCACGAAGCACCTGTTCTGCCATCAGTGCCGTTGCCGCTCAGCACGGCTGGGTCGCCCTCCAAGCACACTGAGCTCGTTCAGGTGGTGGCCGAAGACGGCCCAGATCCTCCTCAGCCGCGCCACACGGCTGAGCTTCCGCGCTAGGCGGGCCCAAGCCGTGATCAGCGCTGCACAGCGCAGCTCGAGCTCCTCCTGGCACGCATGCTCTGCAGCAGCCTGAGCGCGTCCGCAGCACAGCGAGAACCACCGCTGCGTTACCATGGGTGAGTATTTTCTTGGCTAGGCCAAAGCGCTTGATCCAACATGGCCACGGAGGACTGGCCTCCATATCCAAACATGCATACATACACACATACATTATATATATAGATATATGAACTACCGCGGGCACATACCTCGATCGAGAACAAGAAGAGGAGAAGGACGAGGGGGGAAGAAGAACAGGAATAAGAAGAACAAAATATGACTTCGTCGTGGCCGCCGATGTCACAAACTTTCGTTGTCTTTCGACCACCCGACGCTTCTCCTCGAATTCACCCTCCCGGAACCGCTCTCGGTGCTAGGGGCCACCGCCGAGGGATGAGGATCGACCTCCCTGGCCCGCCGCTGGGGTGGATAGAGGCTCGACGCATTAGACTCCTAGTTCTTGGGCGCTCCCCGCCCCTTCCAGGCCTGCAAGCAGCTCTTCGTCGACACGGCTGGGTCCACTCTCAAACTTTTGGCCGGGCGCAACCCCACATGGGTCTCAACGCTCCCCGAACCTATCCAGGAGGTGGAAAAGGAGGTTGGGGACAGGCCCCGTGAGGGCCCCAAGAAACTCACATATAGAAGACCACGAGAGACTTCAAAATAACCCCCGACCCCCCTGTGAACCCCACGCGCTACGTAGGACAGGCCGAAACCCCAAGATTGCCGAGCGATCGCGAGGGTTCCCCGAATTCTGTTTTTCACTCTTGCTGTCGCCCCAAGGGGTCGGCGGTGCGGCGCAAGCCAGTGAATCGACCAGATCAACGAGGACCCGATCTCCATCAGGGCGGCGTCCGAATTGAAGTGGCGAAAAAATTGCCACATTTCCTGCCGAGCTTCAAAACCTGAGCTCCACAGCTGTAGAACTTACAGGATAAACACCAAACATACCCTGGCGACGGACCCAATCCCTGCGCAATGCGGGGCAGGAGTAGCTTGGGAGATTGAGCGAGAAGGCGGCGACGTGACATGAACGCAAATACTTCTGCGAGCGGCATCATGAAGGTTCGCAGGTCCCCAATCAAGGGAAAAATGATGGGTAATTATTCTAACCCCTGAATCACCAACGAAGACGCAAGGTTCAAACAGAGACTGTGGGCAAGGGGCAGAAACAACATCGCATGGCCGCCCAAGACGGCGAACTCCCGATGAGGTCCGCGCAGTGCTTCACTCCACTGGACCCACCAGCAGCCTTCGAAAGTGGCGAGCCCATCAGCAGCCCTCGGAAGTGGCGACAGTTTCGCAGATCGCAGCCCCCCCAGACGGCGAGGTCTCGCTTGGGTCCGCGCGGCGCCTCACTCCGCTGGACCCGCCAGCAACCCTGGAAAGTGGCGACAGCTTCGCATATCGCAGCCCCCCCGGACGGCGAGGTCTGGCTCAGGTCCGCGCGGTGCCTCGCTCCGCTGGACCCGCTTGCAGCCCTCGAATGCGGCGACAGTCTCGCAAATCGCAGCCCCCCAGGGACGGCGGGGCCTCGCTCAGGTCCGCGCGGCGCCTCGCTCCGCCGGACCCACCAGCAGCCCTCGAAAGCGGCGACAGTTTCGCGGGTCGCAGCCCCCCCAGGACGGCGGTGTTTCGCTAGGATCCGCGCGGTGCCTCACTCCACTGGACCCACCAGCGACCGTCGAAAGTGACGACCGCTTTGCAAATCGCAGCCCCCCAGGGACGGCGAGGCCTCGCCCGGGTCCGCGCGACGGCGAGGTTTCGCTCAGGTCCGCGCGGCGCCTCACTCCGCCGGACCCACCAGCAGCCCTCGAAAGTGGCGACGATTTCGCAGATCGCAGCCCCCCCGGGACGGCGAGGCCTCGCTCAGGTCCGCGCGGCGCCCCAACCCGCTGGACCCCCAGCAACCCTCGGACATGGCGACAGCTTTGCAGATTGCAGTTCCCCAAGGACGGCGAGGTCTCGCTCGGGCCCGCGCGGTGCCTCACTCCGCTGGGCCCAGCAGCAGCCCCTTGAAAGTGGCGATTATTCTGCAGATCGCCCCCCCCCCCCCCCCCCGGGACGGCAAAGACTCGCTCAGGCCCGCGCGGTGCCTCGCTCCGCCGGACCCACCAGCAGCCCTCGAAAGTGGCGACAGTTTCGCAGATCGCAGCCCCCCCCCCCCAGGCAAGGCAAGAGGAGACAAGAGGGGGGAGGGGGGCGGGAGACAGGAGGCACGAGGAAAAGGAGGAGGGGGGGGAGGAGGAGGAGGAGGAGGAGGGAGACGCGACCGCAGTGCTTCATTCAAAACGAATGCCCCCAATCACGGAGGGCCGGGGATAAAACAGATCTGCCCGAACAAGGGAAGGCGACCATTTTGTGCCCGGGACTGCGCAGGGCATCAGGATCCCGCTTAGAACGTCCAAGACAATTCCCATAAGGGGGGAAACTGGCACGCGATCCTCTCAGACATACTCGACAACGCCAATGAACTCCGACTCTGCACCACGAGCGCCCAACGACGAGGACGGGGGGGGCATCGGGGGGAGAGGGGGGGCGACGAGCAGCACCGCAAAACTTTACTCTGGGCCAAAGCGGAAGCCGCCCCGCACCTGCCTTGAGCACCAGCCTCGCCACCTTCACCTTGTGGTCTAAAGCTTGCAGCTGTGGGCGCGGGTGCGGGGTGTCTACCAGCTCCTTCCTTGGCAGCGCGGTCTGCGTCGAGATCCCCGCGCCTCCTGAAACGCTCATCGGGCGAAATGCCCTCCTCATCTAGGTTCCGATGAACAGCACCTTCCTTCCGAGCATGGGGGGTCGGGGCCAAATTCGAACATGCCCTGCAGCACCAGACCGCCATGCTGTCTTTTCTCGCTGAGGGCACCCCCTCAAAGGGCAACGTAATCTACGACATTTTGACATTCAGAGAAGCCCATGGACGCCGCGATCGCATAGGCCCCCAGCCCCCGACCCAGCGAAAGCAGCAAATTCCACAGCCTGGGGAGTCTGGGGACACGGGGACCAGAGCGGGCCTTTGAGGGCACCCAAGAGCTCACCATCCCCCCCCATCACAGCGACAGACCAGCCCACCCGAGACGACTCCTTAACAACATGCCTGCGACAAAACAGCCCATGAAAAGATAGCCCCACATGGAGTCCCCAACGGCCTCTCTTTCGGACAAACAGGCGGGGGAGGAGGGGGGAGGTCATTCGCAGGCCACCCTGACGTGACACCACCATCGGACAACGGAGAGAGCACCATGTCCCCCGGGTACTGGAATTAACCATACAAAGACAACTTTTTGTCGTAATCCACTTCCTGAATGGCGCAAGCTTCTGCAACCAACCAGGCAGGGAAGCGCTCCTTCCTCTCCGCGGCCACGGCTGAGCAGACAGGCGACACAGCATATCCTTGCTCTCCCCGCGCAAGGAACAAAGATCAGTCACGTGAGAGCCCGCGCGAGCGGCGTCGGCGGCCGCCCATGTCGCATTCGCGGCCTGCGCTCTCACGCAAGACTTCGTAGCTCCAGAGATTTTCGAGGGGCCCAGCTGCTGCATGACGACATCCCAGCATCGCCCATGCCTCGCCCCATAGCGTTCACCTGACTCCCACTCAAGGTGTCTGAAAGCCGCATCCCGACAAAGAACCTCGAGGAAGGCAGGGCGGTGAGGGCCACGGAGATATCCCGACCTAAGTCATCTATGAACGAAATAAAATCAGGCATTGCCCCACCAAAACGATAAATACACATGCGCAGAGCCGTCATCGGGCCTTTGACCTTACCCCCCGAGTGCTCATCGCGACGAAACACTCGAGACCACCCGCCACATAGCTCAGCCCAAGACAAACGCCAGGGAAGGCCTTCGCGTGACACAGCCAGACTTCTTTCGCGAACCGAAAGATGGGCGTGACGCTGACCCGCCAGCACGGGTCCTTCTCTAAAACACAAAGCACCGACAAAGACCGCCCCTGCGCCCTGGGCCTCGCACAGGACATCGCCGCCCTGCGCAAACTCAGCTGATCTCGGTCGGAAACGCCATAGACGTCCGCCCCGTAGGCGCCGCCAGCAAGCGACCACGAGGCGAACGCCCTCAGCGTCTTCCGACCAACAGCTTCCCTGAATGTGCGTAGTCGCTTGGTTTTCCTGAGGGTGGCGGCCAAACGAGACTCCAGCTTGGCCGCTCTGCCCTTGGCAGGAGCGCGGAGAGACCTGCCAGCCGCGCGATCCACTCCGAGGCTCGCGACTCGTTCAATGCTGCTACTGGGCCATGCCAGGGGCACCAGTTTCTGAATGAGCTGCTGAACAACATCCATAGGACTAGAGACCCCCCCGACTTTATCCATCGCAAGCTTGCACTTCAGAACGTCGGCGAAACCGACATGCAAAACGCGAGCTCCAGCAACCAGGGCACGAACAACGCCCTTAGCTCCAACTGTACAACTGCTTCGACGCAAGCGGCAAAATCCAGGCCTACTGGGCGGGAAACGTTGCCACGCGAAGACCCGAATCAAACTGGTGGCATTCGAACAGCCAGCCACAATCCCCCGGGCCACAAAAAATGCCCTTGGACCTAGCCCCCCAAGGAAATGTAGCGGGCAATGGAGTAGGCTCGTATAGCCAACGTGGCAATGCCAAGGGAGAAGCCGTGCTGTTTGCATTTGGCATAGAGGAACTGGATGCGGATGTGCTCATCGTATTTCCTAAGGTTTCAGAGAATGGAAGCACCCACCTCACCCCTGCCAGCCCCAGACCCAGTTCGATGTGCCTGTGTCCAGACAACATCAGACGCGCCACGGTTGGCCCCTGCCGCCCAGAAGACACGAGGATGATCCAAATCCCAACGGAGAGCCAAGTTTCTTCTGGCCCGCCCCAAGAGGCGGTGCCAGCTGGGGAAAACACCAATGGGCCGAAAACCTCCTTGCGGCTTCCCCTGGAGCACCATCAAAACCCAGGCAATCCGCTTCGGCAAGGACCCCGTGACTTCCATGACAGAAAACCAGAGGACCATGCAGCTCAACACTTCATCACACAAGAGAGAAAAATGTCTGCAGCGAAACCCGTCCACACTGACGGCACTCGAGTGCCGGTACTTCT